TGGATTTACCTTTCGGGCCTGCAAGTACTTGACTATCGATTTAGGGCAAAAAACGTCGCGACAGAGAACGGCCGGAGGGTCAAAGGCGGCGGTGTTCGTCCTGGCTGCGGAGCCTTCTCGCCTTTAGGGTTGTCCTTGCATCCTCTAGGAGGGTTGGTTTTAGCGGTATCGCGCGTCTCGCCTGGTTTGAGGGTTTCTGGGGTTCTCAGCCCCCTCATCCTGCCTCCCTCCACCACACGCGTGAGGCCACTTGTTCGCTGCATAACGTTAGGAAGTTACTTAATTTCCCTGGACTTCTCGCCAATGAGAATTTTGGCATCATCCTACCATCCTAGTAGATTTGTTCTGAGAACTGAAAGGTAATGCACATGAACGCCTTAAAACCGTTCCTGTCTCGTGGTTTATGGTGATCTCTTTTTAATATTAATTTCCTGTAAAGCAGACACGTCCCAGAGGTCCAGCGGTGGCTCCTGCCCTTGTTCTCTGATATTTGAAGGACTCTAGGTAATACTGGACTTATTGTGATTTTTTTTTTTTTTTTAAGGAAAGCGAAGGTTGCTTCCATTGTGCAGGAAGGAAGGGGAGCATTTAACTTTTATCCAGCAGAGCGACAGGATCACCGTTTGCCTAGCTGATCACTAGCTTTTACTCTGCCTAGTTTGACTTTTCAGAAATGTTCGAATAGAGGTAGAGGGAGTAACTCTTTGGCTACTGACAGCAAAGGGCCGCGTGAGTATGACTTGTCATTTTTCTTCTACAGAGACCACGTATGTTGTAAGATATGTAATCCATCATGAGTGTTGTTCATAATTAAACCTTATTTATTAATTTCAGTTCTTTTTTTTTTTTAATTGAGAGAGTCTTGCTTTGTCGTCCTTTATAGGTGCTGCGACATCATAGCTCACAGCAAACACTTGGGCTCAATCTATCCTCTTGCTTCAGTTTTTTATTTTTTATTAGAGACAGAGCTCTCACTCTTGTTTGGCTCGTGAGCTTAAGTGAACCAACCGCCTTGGCCTCCCCGAGTGCTAGGATTACAGGTGTGAGCCACTGTGCCCGGCCCTGCTAATTTCAGTTCTAAGGGCTTTGTACAGATAAACACATTTTTTTTTTTTTTTTTTTTGAGACAGAGCCTGAAGCTGTCCC